AGGGAGGGAGGAGCGGGCAGGGGAGGGAGGGAGGGGGAGCGGGGGCGGAGGGAGAGGAAAGGAGTGACAGCGCCACAGCCAATCGGAAGGAGGATGTAGCCTTGTTAACTTGAGCCATTTTTTCAATGAATTTACTCAGTGCAGGCACGGAGTAAATTCATTGAAAAAAAAGGGGGGGAGGCTGCAAGGCTGGCGGTGGCTCCGTGGGCCATCAGTCGAGGTCTGGGGGGCCGGATTTGGCCCGTGGGCCTTGCTTTTGACACCTGTGCTTTAGAGGCTCTGGGGCAGCATTTGTAGGTGCCTGTTTGGGCTACTTATCCCTAGTATTTTCAGGCAAGATGCTGCATGTTGCAGTCTCCAAGCAGAAATGGGCACCTCTCCACTCTCCATAAATAAGCGAGTTTGCGTGTGTGCATGTGCATGTTTTAAAGCAGCTCTAACTTTTTCTAGACACCAAGATGGCAAAAGAGGTAATACGGCTCCCTGAGCACTTAGAAGCTTCTGAGAAACTGCTGAAAGAAGAGAAGAAGATATATCGTGAGTATCTTGCCTTCTTCTCAGTTTGACCCTGCAGCCCATTCGGAGGCTGTGATAAGAGGGAACAAGTCCCTGGTTGCTCAGATGTAGCGCTGCTGCATACGCCAGAGGCAAAAGCCGAGGGCCTTCCTTCAGCTATCATGAGAGCGGAAGAGAAGAGACAGAAGGGGAGTGAAACGGAAGTCTTGGCCCTGAGCGCTGATTGGCATTCACAGAGGCAGGTTTCCTGGATCACAAAGCCAAAGTGAGCTGATTTACAGTCCGTGGGGGAAATGGTGTTGTGATGCCTGGGTTGGCAGGGTCAAGGCCCTGTGACTTTCTGAAGGACAGGGATCATCTATGGGGTCATCTATAAACCTCTTGGACCTCCACTGAGGGAGGCACAGGTTTTCCCTGAAACACGACACAGTGGCAAGCCGTCCCTGCTGTAATGCAAAGTATTTGCAATGGACCTGGTCTTAGACGGCCAAGGAGGAACCATTGGCTTTACAAGAGACCCACTCCTGATTGGAAACAAAAGCCGCTAGAACTCATTTGTTGGTATGGGTTGATCCAGCTGCCTGCATTTTGGGGCTGTGGTAGGGGAAGAGGAAAACGGACTGTCCTCAATAATGAACTTTTCATGTTCATCACTCCACTACAACATAGAAGATGAGAAAAACTCCGGCTGTGAGCATCACTTGGCTTTTAGCGCTGGAGAAATGAACTCTTCTAACAATGGGTGAACTGTTCAGCAGAGGCCACTTGCTGGCCAGGGGACACCCAATCTCCCATTTGGACCCAGACCACTCTCACCTTCTGGCTACGCATTGCTGGAAGCGCAAGCCAAGCTCCTGGCCTGTGTTGACCTGATGGAAATGAGCCCTGAGCCCGGCTTGTTGGATCAGAATCCTGCCCAGCTTTACCATGCATGCAGCCAGATATCCATACCTGTAGCTGCTGGTTGTTATTTCCCTTTTAAGACACCCTTGCCTGTCTCACCACACAGACCTGAGGGAACCCAGTGGCTGGGTTTATTACATCCCCTTTGGGGATCCACTGCTTCTCTGAGCTCTCAGCAGTGCCCAAAAGGCAAGGCTGCCACTATGTCACCAAAAAAAGGTCTTCTCATTAGGAACTGAGACGGGATCAAAGATGCAGATTCTTTACCCTGATAAAATGTTGGGTGATGAATATATGCTGGAATCTAGCAACCTTCATATGTTGCCTTTAAGAGGTTTTGGCTGGGAGGGACCTCGCCGGGCTGCAAGGACTGTCAGCCAATCCAGCAGCAATCAACAGATCCTTCTCTGCCTCGGATTTTGACGAGAGCCACGTCTCTCTTTTCAAGAGTCCTTTCCCTGCCCCCCTTTTCAGTCAGTGCCCAGGTAGAGTCAGTATTCTGTCAGTGTGCTGTTAGTCATGTAGTCGGTATGAATCAGCTAATTAATCAGTTCAGCTCTGTTCATGGAACCAGCCATGGCCGGGTGCAGCCCTTGGACTTTGGAGACTTTCTGCCTATACTATTGAGCCACCAAATGCGACCAGCAGAAGGGAGTTTTCTCACTGGTGCCATTCAGGCACAGTTCTCACTACCTTTGGGGTGCTGTTCCCCCTGGAAAGAGCTCGCCATCAGCTTTATGATGCTCTAGAGGGTGCCATCCATCCATCTGTATCCCCACTCAATTCAACATTACAGTTTTCTCCTTCCTCTTCTTTCTTTTTAGAAAACCTCTTCACCAAATCTCCAAAATCTTTTGGGGGCTGGACTATTTACGATAGAGCACTCTACTATTTTTCGAAAGATCAGAAGACCTGGTACGATGCTGAGAACTTCTGCATGTCCAGAGATGCTCATTTGGCATCGATCCTAAATGATGAAGAACAGGTTCTGTGTTTTGTTTGTTCCTGATATTTTGGATTCCCTTAGAAACCAATCCGTGCTTTCCAGGAGGACACTTTTGTCTTCTGCTCACCTCAGTTCTTTTTATTCTCAGCACAAATATTTTTCTGTAGTTTTAGAATAAGGAAGGAAGGAAGGAAGGAAGGAAGGAAGGGAAAAAGTAGATAATTTCTTGTCATTCATGTTATTTGGTGTTATCCATTCTGTTACTCATTACATCCATCTTTATTGTGACTCACAACTTCTTAACAAATAATAGAATAGGCGACAAAGGAGAAGAGAGAAAAAAGGGAAGGGACCCATCTCTCTCCCTCCCTCTCCCTCTCTCTTTTCTTCAAATTCATTTCACTGGGAATTTTAAAACTTTGGCCAGAAGTCTGCTCCTTATTTGTGCTGACATTTAGTTCCTTCCAAGTCCCAGCACTGAATGTAGGAATGTTCTACCCATAAACTCACACATCCACACGTAAAGCATGACGAGTGTGACAAGGAGCAGTTAACTCACCTTTCCCCTGCATCACCACCATCCCCCATTAATAAATTAGCAGGAGCACCTTACTGCTTAGGTACCGTTTCCAAATGCTGTCCATAGGGTGATGAGAAATGGCAGGCGAGGCTGCCTGGACGCACCCTTCCACACGTACCCAATGTCCCCTGGAGTTTGTCCCTTGGGAGAACATCATGTGCAGTCAAGGCTGGGTTGGCACTGCGAGCATGCTAAGACATGATGGCAGGGCTCCCAGGAGGCAGCGCCCATGCCTGCCAAGGACAGTCCAGGAAGTCCTGGCTAATAGGACCCTTTTCCTCCCCATCCACCGATTGCATTTATTCTGGTGAAAGGTTTTCTCTCTAGATAAGCGACAACTCCTTATTGCTATGATTGTCACGCCTCGGTTGCTGCATTTGCCGTTCTATCGTATCATTTCCTTTCCTTCCCTTTCCCAGAACTATCTAACCGTGCAGTTAGCAGAGCCTTTCTGGATTGGCCTTTCGGATGAAAACGTAGAAGGTGACTGGAAATGGACGGACGGGTCCAGCCTGGTGACTGAGTGAGTATGCTCCCAGCAGTTATGCTTCTCTGCGTGTTCAACCCTGCTATCCTTTCTCGGGGGTAGAACCTAGAGCAAGGGAGGGCAACCCGTGACCCTCCTGGCCCTGGCTCAGCACGGGAGGACTCACGGCCCCTCGGCAAAACCGTCTGGCCTGCTGCAGGAGGGAGCGGGTGCCTTTTTCCCCATGGGCTGGAGACCCCAGGGGGAAGGGGGATTCCAATACCCATGTGGAGGAGTCTCCACCCTTTCCTGGACTCTGCCTCCCTTTCTCATGTGGGGCTTCTGTGCTACAGCTGGGGGACAGCCAACCTGGGGCCCTGGCGGTTTCTGGGAGCGCAGCAGGTGACTCTTTCCACTTCCTCCATGGAGGGGGAAAAATCTGCCCGGGAGCATGGGGAAAGCACCTGGTGGAAACTGCGATGGGATGCTTGCTTGGCTAAGCATCAAAGTGGCACCACCCGGTCAATGTCGAAGTGTCGACTCCGGGCAGAGGACTCGGACCCCACCTTCGATTTCCCTGACCCACCCCCCAAAAGCACAAGCTTTCCCTTTTTTTCTTTATCTGGGGCACCACATCCTCCTCTTTTTCCTTGGGGGGGGCTCCAATCCATGCATGAGGTGGAAGACTGCTAGCTACAGCTCCGCTTTGACGTTGGATTTTGCAGCACCGAAGGACTGCCTCGGCTGCAGCTCTACAACACAAACAAGGGATCCACTCCAGTGAAATATTATTAGGTACAGGTTTTCCTGTGCTTAGAACATTCCTCCTTTTTTTTAAAAAAAAATGCTTCTGTTGTCCCCAAGCCTCAAATGGGCATGCGAAATTGGCATGCTTGCTTGTCACTCCTTCCCTGCCCTAAACCACCCCAGCTTGAAAGTGGTCAGGACAAATGGAACAGCTCAGGGCCAGATCCAGATGACCAAAGCGTCTTGTCTTTCTTGTCAGTGCAAAAAGTAGGACCAGCCCCTCCTTAAAGATGACAGAGAGGGAGAGGGGGCAGAGTGACTTTGAGCCGCGGGACGTACCCCACTCAGAAGTTGTCTTCTTCATAAGCTATTTGAACAAACACGGATGCCTTCCCACCCACCCCCCATGATAACTTCTCAACTTTCTGAGATTTCTCTCTTGATTTCAAAAACTAAATATGTGTTTGGAGGATCAAGAAAAATACAAACTTCTCTCTGCTTTGTGTTCAAAGCACGGCAGCCCACTCCATCTCCTTAGGAGTCAACATCTTTCATGTACTCTACACCTGGTCTCCTGCTTGTCAGAGCCATGGCGTATGAGCAGTGCTCAACTAAGGGGTGTGTGTGAGTGTGAGTGTGTGTTCTGTGCCATCACATTGGCCCGACTCATAGTGACCCTAAGAGGGCTTTCAAAGTAAGTAAAATATTTAAGGCATGGTGTGACCCATTCCACTCCTCCTAGGGAGTTTCTACGGCTGAGCGGGGATTTGAACCCTGTTCTCCAGAGTCCTCATCCAGACTCCAGACTCCACACTCAGAATCTTAACTAAGGAGCAGATGCCATTTTTGGGGTGTGTGTGTGGGGGGGGAAAGGAGATAGAAAAGAAACAAAACTGTATTCTTGAAAATTCTCCTGGGGCTACAAAGCTACTGAGATGCAAGATCCAAGCTTGGAGAAGAGAGGAAGTGGGGCTGAGGGAGAAGAGATCAATTTGCCCCAGACCGGGTAAAAAGAGGGAAACACTCAGGGCTCTAAAACTACTGCACACCATCTTTAGTGCAAGTGTCACTGTATCCTTCTCTTCACCCCCCCCACCCTGTCTTGCCCTCTTAGGTTCTGGTCTGCCTCAAATCTCAGCCTCCCAGAGAGCCGTGATGCCCAGGAGGAAGACTGCGCGTTCATAAATCCTTCGTCCAGGGGTCGTAATTGGAACAAAGCTGACTGCCATACCCCTAAAAGATGGGTTTGTAAGGAGTCTGTAGACATTGAACGAGCCTGAAACTGGCCACGGGTAGAGCAATTACCCGGAAGGAAGACGGGCTCTTGTTCATTCCAAAGCCAAACGCCACTGGAAATCTCTCAGTCACAGAATGAATGTGGGTAAATCTCTCTCTGTGTGTGTATGTGTGTGTGTGTGTGTGTGAGGGGCTGTTGTCTTGTCAGGACAGAGATGCGTAATTCTGGCGGAGGAGGCAGTCTGAGCCAGGCAGGGTTCAGCCACGGAGCAGTAAACCCCCTGTCCTGTTGCAGGACATTCCAGGTGGCATTTTCACCCACCACCACCACCACTGCCTTTACTCCGTCATGCCTGGCAACCGTCTCTAAAAGGTGAAGGAGTGTGTGGGTGGGTGGGTGGAAGCAGGTTTTAGCACATTTGCAATGATCGGTTGTGATTTCAGCAACTTCAGGACTAAAAAATGAGAGATCTCTTGGGATCCATTTGCGGGCTCCCCAACTCATGTACGGGTGGGAAAAATAGGCACCGGCATTATAGAAGCGAAGTTTGATCTATCAACTTTGGTTCAACTTTGGCTGGAGTATTCCAGAAACTAATTTGAAAAGCAACTTTTTCCAAGAAAGGGTTAGAGCCAGTTGTTAGTCTCAGCGACACCAAACACATTGAATGAATGGGATATGTCCAGTCAGCACATATATAAATATCCAGTTGGTTCAGTGGGTCTACTCTGGTTGAGCTTAATAATTTGGTTTGACTTCTTAGGTCCTGCTATAAGCTGATTCCAGCTTATGGTGCCTTTAGTAGTGTTTTCAAGTCATGTGAGATAAATAATAACAATACTGTAACCTTAAAACTGCAGAGCTGGAAGGGACCCTCTGGATCATCAAGTCCAACCCCTAGACTAGCACTAGTTTTGGTTTCTTTTTTAAAAAATTATTATTTTAAATAAACACTGTAAATGTCTTAAGAAAGCCCCAAGCTTATGGTGCCTTTAGTAGTGTTTTCAAGTCATGTGAGATAAATAATAACAATACTGTAACCTTAAAACTGCAGAGCTGGAAGGGACCCTCTGGATCATCAAGTCCAACCCCTGGACTAGCACTAGTTTTGGTTTCTTTTTTTAAAAAATATTATTTTAAATAAACACTGTACATGTCTTAAGAAAGCCCCGAAATCTTGGCCAGCTCTCTCTGTGTTGAAGACTTCTGGGAGTTTTAATCCGAGAACATCTGGGTTGGGAACCTCCGCAATATACCACACTGGCTCTCAAGATACTTTTCCGAACAAGGGGACCATCTTTCAAGATGAATATCTTTCTGTTAGCTGCAACGTTACAAAAGTGTGGGAAGGAGAGAACGCATGGTCTTCCGAAGTCCTTCGAGTTGGCATGTTCTTGTGAGATGCCGTGGGAGTAGGGAGGAACCGGGGGGTGGGGGGCAAAGAGGGATTTGTCAGATCATCCAGCAGGGTTAGATTTCTGGAGACTTACTAGGAGCTGGAAAGTTAGAAACTTTTTGGATCTCTAGGTGAAGATACTGTAACCTCCGTCCATAAACTCACAGCTGTGCCCATCTGGTCCAAGCACACAGTTGTGCTATTTGGTGGGAAACCTGCAAAGGTGGCTCAGGAAGTGAAATGCTGCTTCCCTTCTTGCTAGAGCGGGGGAGGAGGAGGAGGAAGTGGCTCTGTCACTGCCCATCCGCCAGATGCGAAAAGAGGAGGAGGAGGAGGAGGAGGTGGGGACCCTCCCTGGGCAGAAAGGAAGAAGGATGTGATGGTCATCCTGCTGTCACCTTCTTGAAGAAGAGAAGGCCACTGTGCCAGCAGCAACAGCAGATCCTGAGTTTGCCACTAGAGACCTTGGTGAAGTGAACCACACAGATATTCACCCATAAATATAGTTTGGGCTGAATTCTTTGTCATCCCATCACATAGTTCATGCTCCAAACCTGCTCCAGCCTGCCTCAACAGAGAAAGGACCTTAACGTACTGCCACTGGACATGGTTTGGAAGCAGAAGGACCTAAATTCAGTCCCTGGCATTTCCAGGTATTAATGGGAAAGACGCCAGGCCTGAAACACTGGAGAGCCATGGCTGCCAGTCAGTGTTGGCAATGCTGGACTATATGGACCATAAGTCTCAGCCCACCTGAGAGCAGGACGCCACTGGAACCCATGGCCTTGGTTGGTGGTGAACGCTGCAATGCTGGAGGCATTCAAGAGAAAACGGGACAACCCTCTGTCAGATCTCCTGCCTTGAGCAGGGGGTTGGACTTGATGGCCTCAGAGGCCTCTTCCAACTTCATGATTCTAGGATTATAAGTTGCCTGAATGATCGTCTGCTCATTTATATAGGTGGGATCCTGCCCTTGTAACTACACAGCCAGCTGTGGAAGGTTCTGAGCTTGGAACCCCACCATCTACAGCACAAATACACTCTTTTCTCCCATCTAATTGTGTACTGATTATTATGAAGGGGAACCTGGGGAGGAAGAAGAGGAAGTCAATGTTGATGAGGAGGACACTGTACGGATTTGGTGCAACAGAAAGTAGAAGATGACGGAAGCCTTTCATACTTTTATTCTTCATGTCTAGATGCATCTGTGTGGGATTCAAAATAGTTTTCCTCTAGCAGTCACGTGGAATTAGGGCTAACAAGGCGTTGTGGACATCAAAACACTGAACTCTTCTATGCCCTGTTCCCCTGGGATGGCCAGCTCCGTGTCTTTTTCCTTTTGCACGGAGAGCAGGGTGTCCAGATCTTAGTATACCACGAATGATGCCATATCTATCGTACAAACAAGCATGTTCTCCTTATCGCAGCTAACGCCGTTCCAGCATTTCCCAGAATCTTTGTGGGGACAACTCGCTTGAATCTCAGCACAGTCTTTGGGTGTGGTGCCCGGGTCGTCTGGCTGGCCTGGCCTCCAAAAACTGAAAAGAAGAGGTAGGACTGGTTGAGCTAAAATCTAGAGTGCAAAAGTCTCTCTTCCTGCACTAAACCAACACTCCAAAGGAGATCCAGGCAATCATCCACCAGAAATGGGGCCACCTTTGCTGTGGCGCCAGGACTCTGGGACCAACTTCTGCTGGAGCTGCGCCTGGCTCCCTCCCCACATTTAAAAGGCACTTTAAAACACTGCTATATAGAGGGGTCCTTTTTCTGGCCATCCTACTTGATCTTTTTTTCATCTTCTAGTTTTTTGGGGGGTGTATGTTTCCTTGGGGGTTGTATGTATCATGTGCACATAGCCAGAGTATGTGCACATGATACGGCAGCATAAAAGGAAACATTCATTTAGTCGTTTAGTCGTGTCCATGAAGAGTCGGACACGACTAAACGACTAAACGAATGTTTCCTTTTATGCTGCCGTATCATGTGCACATACTCTGGCTATTGGTACATTATCCTGGAACCACTTTAGAGGATTTTGTCCAGTGCCCACCTGTCCTTGCATTAGCCAACTTCCACAGCCTCTTGCTACCACTGTTGCCGACACCAACTCAGTTCCCATGTTGGGGTGATGTGGCTCGCAGGGACAAAAGTCATGTTCTCTGTGGTGTGATTTTTAATATCTGCTTTAGTTTTTTTCAAACTGGGATAGCACTATATCAGTCTGACCGATTTTTTTTTAAAAAGGGTCAGACTGTAAGGTTACCCTTCCACACACACCGCTTTTCTCCCACCTTCCTTGATTGGAAGCCAGAGGTCACAGCCACTCTACTTCCCTGGAGGAAGAGAGAAAGAGCAGGCAAGCCAAAAGGGGTTAAAGTGATTTCTCTGGGCCCCTCATCATGTTTTAATATTTATTTTTTACTTTTTGCAAACTGCAATAGCGCTAGGTCAGTGTTACAGATAGAACAAAATATAACAGGTCAGAATGCAAGGTTACCCTGCAGACCAGAAACCTGTGATCCTGGTATCCAATCCAATACTTGACAAACCCCACCAACACAATTTATTGATTAGCACATATGCAAAAACAATTCAAAATACTTCATGTCTATAAACATCCCCTCAAGGATTCTTAAAATACCTCACTTTCCATTTTTTAAAAAAAACACACACACACACACACACACACACACACACACACACACACACAGACAGACACACACACACACACACACACTTCCCTGCCACACACATACTTTCCAGCCAAAAATTCATCTATACATCATGAAAATGGATAATTTAAAATAAATTTCAAGCATGCTAAAATTGACACAAACTCCAGAGTATTTCAATGCGCAACAGCACCATCAGTCCCTCTGGGTGACCATCTAGCTGAAACTATAATGGAACAGCCCATATTCCAGAGGTCCTACCTGTGAGAGATATATTATCAGAGCTTAGAAAAAAATCACCTTTTATATTAAAACAAAATTCAAAATCCACAAATGGGCATTTTTCTTTATTAGGATCAACGATCGGCTCTTTCCAAGGTGAGAACTGGGGACTAAATGAGTTTGGAGTGTCATATGGTTATCACATGACCTCTGGGTAAACAGCTGGGAAGAAGATTGTTTTTCTCTGTGAACACATAGAGGAGAGGTCTCTCCACATCACCCTCATGAGGGCACCTTATTCTAAGGTGCTCACAGTGAGAACTCTTTGACAGAGAAGTTGAATCCCTTGGAACACAGTGGACTCTACCTCACTGGTGGTTTTTCAGCAAGTCTTGAGATGGCAGGGGATGTTTTACCTGCACTAGCAGAAGGAGGTTGGACTTGCAAGTCCCTTTCAGTTCTGTTGTTCTACGATTCTAAACATCTGGAAGGCTGCAGGTTGCCTGCCTGAGCACTATAACAAGAAAGGTGGCTACTGTCTCTAAATCAGTCTGGAACCTAGGCTGCAACGAGAGTCATCTTTGTGGAAGAGCAAGGAAAAATGAAGAGAGCAAAGAACACTGCATCTCAGCTTCCAAGCATGTTCACATCCTGATGTTTGCTTTGTGTCATTGGTTTGTGGTATAAGTGAACAACACTACTAGGCCCCTATAATAATAATAACAATAATGTGCAGTCAAGCCAGTTCTGATTTATGGCAGTCCTTTTCCAGGGTTTTCCAGGTAGAGAGTACTCAGAAGTGGTTGACCCTCCCCTTCTTCTGGGGTTACTTGGGACTATGCAGTTTTCCCAAAGCCACCCAGGCTGGCTCTTCTTCTAGGAGGCCCAGTGGGGAAATTAAACTCCCAACCTCTGGTTCCACAGCCAGAGACCTAAACCACTAGGCTATTCAGCCAGCTTTTAGGCCCCTATAGAGACACCTAGGTTTACAGGTAAATGAATGCCTCTCTTTCCTGTGCTCACTTCCAGGCTTAGTGCTGGCAAATGTGGTCATACTTGCCTCACACTGTAGTCTGTACCATCAATCCATTTCCAGGTGCCATTGACCTTCCAGAGTCCAATCCATAGACTTACTGAGGTCATCTTAGATTTATCCTCCAGATACTTCTGCATAAGACAGAAAAGGAAAGTCTTTAGTGGGATTAAAGTAGAAGAGGTCTCCATTTGCTCTTATTCATTTCCAGGTTGATTTTCCTATGATTCCACTCTGCCATCGTCCAGAGCGTTTGGAACCTTAGGCTGGAAAATTGATTTCTCAGTGTCAAACATTAGGAATGGGAGTATTAATTCATTGCTACTTGTAGTTAAACACTGAAAATGGTTCACTCATAAAAAAGTGTAAAATTGCCCTTCTCCCACCTAGTGCTTTCTACAACTAATTCTACAATAATTAGCTAGGGATAATATAATCTAAGAAGTTTAGAAGTGGTGGGGGTGGGAAAGACTGCTTGGCCAGAATACAGGATTTTATCTGATCCCCTATAGAGAAACACACATGTGCCATCAACATACTGGGTATATATAAACCAGCAATGCGTTAACCGTTTTCACGTAGACTTCCACAGTAAAATATTATACAAGCCATTGGAGAAAGTGGCTGGGAACTGTTAAAAATCTCAGCTCCCTCTGTTATATGGCTGTGTGAAGTCAGAGCAGCCACCTTCACCACCTTAGATGTTTGAAAAACATTTGACACAAAACCAGCCACTGACCCAATGTGGAAAAGGAAGCTGGGATGATTTGTGTTGTCCCTCTCCTAAGCACAGCTTTCATGGTAACATGGCTTTAAATGTGAATTGTTTAAGTACGAACAGTTGTGGTGGAATTGTACAACTTGGATCAGAGTTACAGATCTCTTGCAAGACAATTACTGAAATTCTGTGGCTTAGCCCAGGAAGTCATAATTAAAGGAGTCCCCTTTGAATCAGTGAAGCTGATGGAGGAGTTGACTCACCAACTCTGCACTGATTCAGTAAACCTACTCTAATGGAACTCACTATGCTGAGCAACAGGATTTCATCCAGTAGCGTAGTTTTAAAATGGACACAGAATTTATTTATGCATGTATTTATTTATTTACATTTCTATTCCACCCATCTACTTAACAGAGCAATACTCTGGGCAGCTAACAACAACAACAAGAGAAATAATAACAACATAAATTGACAATTGAGAAAAAAACAACCAAACAATTTTCAGGATTTGTAGTTAACATGTCTCTCGGGCAGTCCCTTTGCTCTGGGGCTGTCATGAAGAGGATTTTGGGGTCTGGGAGGCCAACCCCTTGAATGTGTCAGAGACAGAAATAACTGAGCTGGGAAGTCATTTCTCCCTCACCCCCCCTTAAAAGTTATTTCTTACTTTCAGGCATTTTATTGTTCTACTCACCTCTGCTTCAGAGCTTAAAACAGAAACCAAATCAGCATTTTCTTCTTCACATTCTTTCTGGGATTCGTAAAAATTCTTTGCTATAGGGCCGAAATAATAGAGACGTCCTTCGTAGTATTCCCACCCTTGCCCAACTTTCTGAAGTATGTCATCTTTGAGCCAAGACAGGAATGTGCAAGTAACAAAGAAACACAAAGGAGGAGTTTGGAGGTCGGTACAATCATACAGATCTGTGCAGATTACATAAAATTAAACACATATTGATCTAACATCACACGTTCGCACTGTTGGATGACCTGTTGAGGGAGGCTGACAGGGGCAACATGTCCTTGTTGGTCCTCCTCAACATTTCAGTGGCCTTTGATACCGCTGACCATGGTATCCTCCTGGGGAGGCTCTCAGAGTTGGGAATTGGTGGACAGGCATTTGCCTGGCTCCGATCCTTCTTGGAGGACCGTCCTCAGCAAGTCCAGCTTGGGGAGAGTGTCTCGGCCCCGTGGAGCCCCAACTGTGGGGTCCCGCAGGGTTCGATCATCTCTCCAATGCTGTTTAACATCTATATGAGGCCACTAGGAGGGGTCATCAGGGGGTGTGGGGCTTTGTGCCATCAGTACGCTGATGACACCCAACTGTACATCTCTTTTTCACCTTCCTCAGTTGATGCCGTCCTGTCCCTTCAGCGCTGCCTGGGGGCTGTTCAGCAATGGATGCAGGTGAATGGACTGAGGCTGAATCCGGGGAAAGACGGAGGTCCTTCGGGTGGGTATCCCAGACATCAGTGGTCTGGGAAACTCCCTCTCCTTTGGGGGGGGGTGACTCTTACCACCAAGAGTGAGGTTTGCAGTTTGGGTATACATCTGGACCCGGCACTCACCATGGAGACCCAGGTGGCGTCAGTGGTCCGCTCCGCCTATTTCCATCTGTGGCGGATAGCCCAGCTGGGTCCCTCTCTTGATGTTGGGGCACGCACCACTCTGGTCCATGCACCCGTAATCTCAAGATTAGACCACTGCAATGCACTCTACGTGGGGCTACCTTTGAAGTTGTTGTGGAAACTTCAAATGGTGCAAAATGCGGCAGCCAGACTTCTCACTGGGACAAGAAAATACCAGCACATCTCTCCCATCCTGGCTGCCTTGCATTGGCTTCCCATCCGTTTCCACATCCACTTCAAAATGTTAATGATGACTTATAAAGCCCTAAACGGTTTAGGACCTTGATACATGGCGGAGTGCCTTTTCCCACCTAGATCTACCCGAGTCAATCGTTTTAGCCAGGAAAGACGGCTGAGGGGCCTAACGCCGAGAGACGCCCAGAAAGAAAGAACAAGAAACCGGGCCTTCTCGGCAGTGGCCCCTCGACTATGGAACAGCCTTCCAAAAGAGATCCAGCTGGCACCCTCGCTGGGTGTTTTTAAGAGTCATTTAAAGACCTGGCTCTTTAGGCAGGCCTTCCCTCCAGTCAACACCTGATTCTCTTTTTTCTTTAGTTTTTTTCCATCTTGAGCTTCTAATTTGTTGATGTAATTATGTCATTGATTTATATATACCGATGGTTTTTATTTGATTGTATTTTATAACGTTTTATTCTTCTTTGCAAGCCAATGGGAGTAGACTCTGTCTAGAGGGGTGGGGTATAAATCGAATAATAAATAAAAATAAAATAAATAATGTTTCTAATAATGAGCCTTTTAGCCAAATTATGGATTTGTCTTGGATGAGGTGTGGAATGGTTGAAAGCCAACCTCCCCCCTGGGGATAAGAGGGACCCTGAAGCATGCGTTGATGTTCCACGCTGCCAAAAACTTTTGATATGTCACACTTTGGAATATCTAGGCTCCTCAGAGGCTGAAAAGACCTGACAGAGAGATGTCTTGGTTTTTTTTGCTCTGCTGTTCTCTCTGTTAGGAGTCAACAAAGTGTTTGCAAATGGTGTGGCTTTGGAAAGCCACCCTTTGAGGCTGGACTCTCTTTTCCACAAAATTATTCCGCACCATCATCTTGGGTTCACTTACCGACTGTGGTCTTCAACTGAAAAGCTTTCTCATTGCTGGCTGCCACTTTTTCTACTAACATCTCCGTTTCAAAGAGAAGTGCTGAATCTAAAGTTTGCAAAAGGTCAAGTCAGATGAATCACAAGCAGTCATCCAGATACAGAGAGGTCCATTTTCTAAGGAAGGGTAGAACTCGGAATACAGATAAGTACATAGCGGCAATTTCTTTTTTGCCAGATTTCTTGATTTTGTTTTGTTTTATTTGATGAGTTAATGTTTTGTTCCCTATATTTGATTCATTGATTGTCTCTTTCATGTAAAATGGTACATAGCACCAATCGAGTGGTATAGGTTTCCAAATAAAATAAATAGCTGATTATATATTTTCTGCATGGAAGCATCCCAAGGTAGAATCTAGTTTGACAGTCAAGCAAGGGAGTTCTAATTGGAGTTGTAAGACCTTGCATTAATCCCTAGGAGTTGCCCTTTTCCTTTAAGAAATGGAGAATCTTTAAATAATCCTTTGGCTTAGAGCCTAGCCATAGGCTCCTGTGGCTGGAGGGGGGTTTGGCTGGCTGCGGAAGGTGCTCCCTATGGGATCCATGAGCGCCTGGTAAGTCTAGCACTTCATCATCCTTACCTCCCCTAAACAGGTAAAATTAACCTGTTGTAAATTTATACATAATTTGACTAAGAAACCCAACTCTGCTTCACTGGATACATTTGGAACCAAATGTTCTTAACAGCCGTAACAGGCGTTTCCGACAGAATTGGGCCAAACATGAAGTCATTCTGACTCTCAAAGAGATCACTCAACCCTGGCCAGCCTGGATCTTGCTGGGGAACATGGGTTCAAGACTCTACTGCCTCTGAGGAACACAGTGAATTCTCTGATGCCTGGGGGGGGGGCTAATTCTCCCTTTGCTGCACTTCCCCAGGCTGACTGAGCAACCTATCTGCCAGAGAGCCGAAAGGGAACTGAAAAGGAGAGCTGGGCAGGGACTTTGCCTCAACACCCCCCACTTCACTTGGGGGGCAGGGTTGACCTCAAAATTCAGATTTAGGCATGAGTCAGTTCAGACTGATTCTGGCTTGATCTGACCCAATGTGGACATGAGCCATCCGTTTTTAGAACTATACTTATATTCAACTAAACGTTATATTTGGAAACCAAAACCTTAGAAGTGCAGAGATGGAAAAGGGGATCCTCGGGGTCATCAAAGCTAACCCCTGTCAAGGAGGCCCCGCGGGGAATCAAACTCCTAACCTTCCTAAACCACTGAGCTATTCAGCAGTCTGCAACTGCTGGCGTAACTTTTTTGTTCTTTCACATAAGTGCATGAAACGGAGACATAAGGATCAGACAAAGGTATAAAGATCACACAGGATCATGACAAAAAAACTGGTTGTGTTCAGGGCAAGATTCTTAAAAGGACCCTTTAAAGTGACCCTCAATCAATCAATCAATCAATCAATCAATCAATCAATCAATCAATCAATCAATCAATCAATCAATCAATCAATCAATCAATCAATCGCTAGCAGCTCTAGTGCTGGAGCAAAAACACCTGGTAAGGGGACAGAACAGGGTCAGATGGTCCTGCCAGCGCTCCAAATCTGGATCTCAAACCTCATCTGATCCCACCCTTAGTAGACGACGTAGAGTGGACAATCCTATCACGTTCAGAATCATTAGGCTTTGTTTTATGCTAGCCATCTTTAAAAGTTGCCTTTAAAACAGACCTCTTTCTTCTATGCTGTTGTTTTGATTAATATGCCCCACTTGGCTTTCCTTTTACTATCCAAGAAGCCAAAAAGATTTTGAGCCACTTTGGACCAAACGGGGCTGATTTGGGTAGGTCTGAATCGGCCCCGCTTGTCTTGGGATGCATTTCGCACAGCCTGTGGCGCAGCCCCAATGCGAAATATTTTAAATAGTCATCATCATCCTAAACCAAGCTGTGCTGGGAGCAGAGTGCCATGGAGAGACTGTGATTTTGGAGTCCACAGGACATCTACCTTCCATTGCTCATGGCTTACCATTGAATCCTTCCAGGGACTTGTTACGACTGACCATAAATTCCCGAATCTTCCTTACAGCCATGACATTGTCACCAAAGTTTTTTACATGTAAATAATCTAACAAAGAAGAAGGTGGGAAAGAAAGAGTGGGTCAGTTGGGTGATCAGGAGCAATGGTGTTGTGGATGATGAGACACTGTTCTCACAATTTCCTCTTATTAGAACCCAAGGTCATCCACTTAAGCTGTCTGGTGGGAGATGCAGGGGAGAGGAAAAAGCAGTACTTCAGCACTGAGTTTAGTTATTAAACCTTGGAATCCACCACCACAAGATGTAGGTGCTAACTCAGATGATTTTTTTTGAAAGGGGATAAATTCATGGAGGCCAGGACCATCAAAAACTACTAACGAGGATCGTTCTGGACAAGCTCTTTATAGCAAGAAGCACGGTGTCACTGGATATCAGTTGCTGAGGGCTGAGAAATGGACAGAGCCACACACAGACACACATAGCTAGCCTTTGGGATCAAAGAAATCTAAAAGGGAATAGCGGGCACTGGATCATGCCCTTTCTTTTGCAAGTAAAGCTACCCAGGGAAATGCTGGAAGCTCCCCTTTCTTGCAGAAACCAACTTACATTTGGCGAACAATCCACCTGAGATCAAAAGCATGACGAGACTCAGGACTGTCACTTTTATTGCACACTTTGGAGAATAATCCTTTTCAGGCACTGTTTCTAGAAGAAGAAGAAGAAGGGGCAAGAAAGTGGTGCTTCAACCATCTGCAGAATCTGTGCTGTGCAAACCACCCGAGGGCCAACTCTTTCTCAGCAGGTCTGAGCAAGCTGTGGCTTCAGAGAGATTCAGCCCGATGGGGAAAAATCCATGAATAGAAGCCAAATTGTGGGCTCCACAATCTCCTTGTTGGGTCACCAAGATGTTTACCACCAGCTGGCCTTGCTTGTCACTTTTTAGTGACCCAATAAAGGCATTCTGCAACTTAGAGCTTTTGTTTCCAAGTATTATGCAACTTAGATGGGATCCAAGGGTAAAGAGGAATCATAGAATCATTGAATAATGGAGTTGGAAATCAAAGCAGATCTGACAGATGGTTATCCAATTTTCTCTTCAATACCTTCAGTACTGGTGTGATGGTTATCCAATTTTCTCTTGAATACCTTCAGTACTGGCATGCTCGCTACCTCCCAAGGTAATTAGTTCCATTGTTGTACTGCTCTAACAGTTAAGAAGTTTTTCCTGATATTTAGCCTAAATCTGCATGATTACCTTTCAAATATTTGCAAAGTGTTAGCATATCTCCCCCACCCCCAGTCTTCTTTTCTCAAGGCTGAATATGCCCAGTTCTTTCTGTCTTTCCTCCTAAGGCTTGATTTCCAGCCCGCTTGATCATCCTTGTTGCCCTCTTCTGAACTTGCTCCAGTTTGTTGCCATCCTTCTTAAAGTGTGGTGTCCAAAACTGGACACAGTACTCAAGGTGAGGGCTAACTAGTGCCAAATAGAGGGGATCTCGTACTTCATGGGATTTGGAGACTATACTTCTGTTACTACATCCTCAAATTGCATTTGCCTTTTTTTGCAGCCACACTACACTGTTGGCTCATATTCAGCTTTTGATCTACAACAATTCTAAGACCACACTCAAAATATGTGGTAGTAGAGAATGAAAGGCCAGTTAAGACTGAAGTTAGGAAACATACATACATGTATAAATATATACATACCTTGCCATATATCATTAGGCCTCATGGTTGGAAATCCTCGATAAAGTTATCTAAACTTTTATGTACTGCTCTGCTTGTCTATGCAGTGAAGACTATGGTCCCTATTATGTATGTAACTGCAGTCTTAGGGGACCCACTTTCCCGATTTGTCTTGTTTCCAGCCATTCAGCTTGGCTATTGCTTACAGCAGCTGAAAAAAGAGCGTAAGGGGCTTCATTTGCTGACTTAGCCTTAATCAAGGCACAAGGAATGACCAAGCAATAGCAAGGTTTGCCTTTCTGTGTTGCCCATGGGTTTTGGCTTCCAGCTTCCCCTTGGTCCCTGACTGTATTGCAGTCTTGGCCACTTCTGTCTCTCTCCAGATGGCTAACTATGGCCCAGACCCAACACATGTACAGACCTGCAGCTTCATCCTCAACGATCTTTTCTTCTTCTTTTTCCTCGCCTTTGTCTTCCTTGTGTTTCTCTGCCTTTCCCTCCTCTTTCCCTGGAAAACAACATTCCAACATATTTATTCTTATAAATGTCTTGCAGATAGCATGAGATGCTTCAGGGCACTAGAATCTCCAGCTGCAGTTCTGTTTATTTGGAAGGCAAAGCCACTGAAGAATCTTGAGGCATTGGAAACTAACAAGTTCCTTTGCCTTTGCAAACTCCGGCTCACTTCTTCAGATTTCTGGGAGTATCCATGGGAGTACAAAGGTGCCTCTTTCCACAGTTGGCTAGTTACAGATCAAAGGGCAGAGGGAGGAACCAAGAAACCAGCTCTGTTGGGCCCTTAACTATCAGACGTTCATAGCACTCACAGAATTGGTGCAGCCAACAATCCAACTACAGTACATCACAACTTTCTAAAGCCCGTGTTGTGAAGTATGGTGGCCTTTCAGCTGTGCCTGCTTGTCCTTGGTTGCCCCTTGCTGTTGACGGCTGACGGGCACATCTAAACATGGTTCAGATGGAGCTGGTCTGATTAAGTAGCGAAGCCTTCAACAAGTGGCAGGCTCCGGTGGCAGCTGATGGCAATTCCAGTTTCCAGGGAGCTGTGAGTTTACTCCAGGCTTCACCTTTGCATTTTACAAGAGTTCTCCATGGTGCTGAACTTCGTGTTGCTGAACCACCTCTTCTGGGGGATGGGGCTGAGCACCTCCTATGGCGGCTATCGAGTGCAGTCTAAAACCCAGAGTGGATTCACAACAGTTGTGAAACTGGAGTCGCCACCAGCTGCCACTCTCAGACTAGCAGCAGCATCTCCCTTGGCTAACTGGGACAAGGTTTGGCTCTCCATAAAACACTCCTACCATAGCTTCCTGGACAGACCAAACTCATCTCGTTTCCAAAGCCAAGTAGGGAGAGGCTCGGCCTGTCCTTGGACAGAAGGCCCTCTGGTTTGCCCTTTGATCTGGGTTGCCCTTCGGTCCTGCCTCCCGGGACCATGACCCTGCCTTAGTCTCCCATCAGCTGCCCATAGCTCAGCCCTGGCACACCTGGAGAGGTGCAGCTGATGTCTCTTATAGGGCTTCCTGACCTCCTGCTTCAGGAGTACCAGATTATTTGTGTTTACCTTCCTTTAAAAAAAAAACTTTCATCCTTGCAAAGACAACAGAAACATGGAGATTATGGGAAGAGCATCACAGACCAGAATACCCCAGCTCTATGGGAATTCCACTGGGTGGAGCTACGGTCTCAACCGGCTCTGACGCCTCCTTTGTGGGTGAACAGAGTTGGGCTTAATGCTCTGATGGAACCTCTGCTCTCTTGTGAACAGTGAATAAAGCAGAAGCAGCTTACCTTCTGGGGCAGGATGGCCTTTCTCTGGGTCCTTCTTCATTTTATCTCCTCATTCTAACGATTGTCTCCATCGGCTTGATTCCTGTGAGACCATATCATGGAGCAGACTCATAAGAGGGCATATCAGAAGGAAACGGTCTTATTACAGAGCAGTGACTATAGATTTAGACTGTGCAGAGAAGTTGGCATAAAAGGAGAATCAAACATGGAGCTCCCGCCATATTTTTAAAGGTAAGGCCTCGGGAGCCAAAAGCCTTCGCGAATATATCAAATGCTTGTGGTTCGATGCAGTCGGCCAGCCAAAACCTGCAAGCCCTGGCTCAGCAATATGGTACCTGTTTTGTAAGTAATGTACATACACAAATACACACATGCGTGCATGCATGCATACACACACACACACACACACACACACACACACAAACAAACATCCCACTTTTAATCCCTGGTGACACCAGTCCGAAGACTATCTTGAAGGAAAACTGGTGGAAACCCAACCCTGCTTGAGGCTCTCATGGGCTGACGCCACTTAAACTGATCTATGTACAGATTTGGGATCATGCGAACAAGGTTATCCACCCCGTTCTGACCCTGTTTGAATCCCATGGGGACGCCACAGTCAGATTCTCTCTTCCCTGCCTCGGCCCTTTCCCGGTGTTGCCCCTTCCTTCAACAGCTTCAACCGCCTTCCTTCTGGATGCAGAACACCCCATAATTCCTTGCATTCCGTGCCTGCCCCTCCCTAGCCGGCAGCCAATCAGATGCCCACACAGGTGTGGCAGGCAGGTGTCATCGGTGGAATACCTGCCTCCTAGCCCACTGTAAAAGGTACAGGAGCAATGTCCTCTACCTTCATGGGACCACCCTTGCCAGGAAAACCATGGGGTGGTCCCAACCTTACAAACCAAATTTGGACGGCTGCGAAACAAATCTTTTTTCAGAATTGCTCCCATCCCAATGGAGTATGTTGCCGCTGTGATAAAGCATACCAGTAATATCACAAAGGCTGTAAGAATATTTGGTATTTACTGCATGGGATCGGGTTAAAGGAGAAGCCATGATTTTGTACACTTTTTAAAAAAGATTCGATTCTTTCCATACCGAACCTAAAAACAGTGGGATATACTGGTCAATTTTTCCTTTTTGAAAACTAAAACTTCTCATCTATTGATAATGCAGACCCATGTATATACTGTATTGAAAACCTGCCATAAATGCTGCTAAAAGTATTTTGCTGGGCCAGATGTCCTGGGACACCTGAAAAAGCTTGGACAATTCTCCTAATTTAGTAAACAAACCTCCTGATGCCTCCTATATCTAATGGCTGCTGGGTGTAACCAACACACAACCAATCTACCTTATATTCTAAATTCAAGGCAATTTGTCTCTTTTTGTAATAATCTACTCTTCGTTGTTGTTGTTGTTTAGTTGTTAAGTTGTGTCCAACTCTTCGTGACCCCATGGACCACAGCACACTAAGCCCTCCTGTCTTCCACTGCCTCCTGCAGTTTGGTCAAATTCATGATAGTCACTTCGCAGACACTGTCCAGCCATCTCATCCTCTGTCATCCCCTTCTTCTCTTGCCTTCACACTTTCCCAACATCAGGGGCTTTTCCAGGGAGTCTTCTCTTCTCATGAGATGGACAAAGGATTGGAGCCTCAGCTTCAGGATCTCTCCTTCCAGTGCGCACTCAGGGTTGATTTCCTTCAGAATGGATAGGTTTGTGCTCCTTGCAGTCCAGGGGACTCTCAAGTGTCTCTTCCAGCACCATAATTCATCTACTCTTTACTTTTTTCTATTAACCCTTTCAAAATGTCAGTGCCTTACAGAGAAAGAGATGTCCAATAATTTTTTAAATTTTTTGTTTCCAAGAGAGACGAATCACTGCTGCTGCGGTTTCATTTTCAACTGAAAAAGGAAGTAGGTGGGGTGTATAGCAACGTTTCTTGTGAACCTGGATCATGGCATGTTGCTGCCCATCCTACTTACCTCCGTTTTCAGTTGAAAATGAAAGCTAAAATCCATAATAATAGCAGGAGATTTCATCGAAGAACGAAACTGAATTTCTGAAACAAGCCAACATCACACTGGCCCTGACTGCTGGCACAATATAAAACTACCTTCAACACAACTTCACAAACACTATGAGGGCTTGTCATGCCACCAGAGAAGGTGGTGGTGGTGGGTTTATACAGAGGGAACCAGCCCTTCTCTTCCTGTTTTCAATGATCAGTCAGTTCTATTTGAATCCTAACCACAGTTTCAGCAGCATGAGTACAGGCTGTTTTGTTCCTGGACTTGACACGCTATTTATGAGAATCTGAGCCACCCAACCATTTCCAGTCATTAGAAAAAGAGAACCCAGTCCAGAACCCAATCCAGAAAACCCAATCCAGTAGTCTTGATGCAAGTGCTTAATTCTGTTTTCTACAAAGCCCTGCAAAAAGCACAGTCAGAGAGTCTTGCCTTGGAATTGGGGACAAACGTCTCTCTTGCTTCTCCTCTTGAAACCTTTCCAGGCTAGCCCAGGCAGGCCACAACTCCCCCCCCCCCATGGCTTCAGCAGTAAAATGCAAAGGAAGAAGGGAAGCCATTGCTCATGATGCCAAATATATTACCTCCCGTGTCAGGGGGTGGAAGTTTGCCATTCCTACCACCTTACTGGGCTGTTGTGCTCATGCCCAACGTAAGGGCTCCCGACAGGCATTTGGCAAAACTTTCCATAAATTGAACCTCTAACTAGGTTTCAGCTGAATTCTATTCTGTTAACATTTTGGGGGCAAAAGGCTGTTTCAGCTGAGATGAAACACTTGGAGCTGTTTCAAGGCGCCTTCTTCCCTTTGGACATTGGAGAATGCAATGCACTTGCCTGCAGAGTAGTACCTACTTACTGGCTATACGTAGAGCCCTGTTGAATGAGATAAAATGACTGTCTCATCCAATCATCAATTAAAAAGTGCTTAATAAATATTTGTAATGCATGAAAAGCAAGCAGCTTGAGTTGAACTCAGAAGCAAACTGGAAGCTAGCACAGTTGTTTCAAAGCCGCTGCCATGTGGTCTCTAAACGACCAGTTAGAAAGCCATCTGGCGGCCACATATTGTACTAGCCATAGCTCCCAAATACTTTCCACGGGCAGTCCCATGTGCAGTGTGTTATGGTAATCCAACAAGGCAGAAGTTAAGGACTGGTTCGTTGTGGTCAGGTCCACATTCATTAGGAAGGGACCCAGCAGAGATACCAAGGGTACCCTTCTGGCTTTCAGGGAACAACGCTGGGTCCAGAGGATCCCAAGCGGGCATTTGTGCACCTGGTCCTTCAGAATCAGGCCCTGCCCCATCTGCTTCAGAGGTTGCATCCGAGTTTGTAAAGAGCTGGGCACAGAGCAAAGCTGTAAGAAGTGAGCCAACAGAGACATGTCCAGTCTGGGGGAAAGGCACAGCTAATTCACTGCAGCTATCATGCCCTATTTTATCCCAGCAATGGTGTCCTATCTTCATTTGTGGTTGGCAATCAATTAATTTACTGCAACAGGAAGTGAGCTGTTGTACACTTTATTTTCACAGACGTTTAACTCTTTGAAGTTGCAAAATAAAGTATATTTTTCCCAATCACAATAAAGCAGAGAGATAGATTCTTCCGAAGGCTGACACCAGAGATGTTCAGCTCTTCCACGCCACAGTTCCATTATCTAGACGACTGATCCAGCGTGACTTCTGTATTATGGGGAGCGAGGGATCAATCCGTTGACCTTATTTCTCTGTCGAGATCACTGAATCCAGTTTCATCGATACTGAAAGGTTCTATGTGTACCACTTTTTATCCGGCTTCTTCTTACAAATGCTTCGGATAGAAACGTAGCAAGCCATGCCTGCCCAGCACTTTCTCTGTGTGACGCAATCGCTTTTTATCATGACACAGGGTTGATTCACTACATCCCTTGGTTGGCCAAACTGCCAGAAACTGAAAACAAAAGGCAGCATTAATGCAATGATCCTTCAAGTCAATGAAGAGCGGTCATTCCAGACTAGATGTCTGCTTTCTCCTCCTTCTGAAGAACTAAACTATGTTCAGCTCATTTCTTTCTCACATGTACCACTCACTTGTAATCAAAAATGGATTGTCTGTATTTTACGGCTTCTGGCTATAAACAGAGCACTTTTTAGAACGAAGTAACTCTGGAAAACAGCTTTCTCAGGGGGAAAGGAATGGCCAGAAACGCTATGTCAGTGGAAATCTCCCCACCATACACACTCCAAATCTGTCCAAGACACCATGTGCGAGGGAATATATCTGTGAAGATTCTCAGTCCTCCAGGTGAAGTTATCTGGAAGATGATTCATGGCAACTGGACTTCCTTCTTGCTAGGTTGAAATGTTTTGCTACTCATCCAAGTAGCTTCTTCAGTCTGAGGAGAGGGGAATGCAGTTCCCCTGTTATCTAAGACTGACTTAAGTACAAAAAGCAAGCTAAAATACAATAGAAATCCAGTTTTATGTTATTTTCAGTAGCTATGCAGATCACAATAGGAGGAGACTTTACTGAAGAGCTAAAATGAGTTTCTTACATCCAGCATCACACTGGCCACTGGCTGCTAACACAATGCCAAAAGCTTTCCCTCCCTCCCTCCACTGCAGTCCTGGACACCACCCCAAAAACATTACAAGAGGCTTTCTCTACCTCCAGAGTAGGTTTGGGGGCTCCATGGAGGGCTGCCGGGGAAATCCCCCTTCCCAGTTTCCTTGATCAATCAGTTCCATCAGTGGAATTAGCCATCTGGATAGGGATCAAAGTTTCTACAATAGAATACAGGCTGTTCACCAATTAAACACACCTTTTTCGACCACTTACACCATCGAGCCATTTCCAACCGTTATAAAAAACGTATCCAATCCAGTAATGTTCATGTTTATTCCTGACTATTTTTTCTAGGAAATCCTGCAAAAAACACAATCAGAAGGTCATTCCTGGAAATAAAGAACTAAATTCTCTTTCCAGAGCCTTTCCAGACAGCAATGTAAGATGCTGACTACACGGTTTGGTCCACAGGGAGAAGCTGGTTCGCTCCTAAAGTCTGTGATCAGACAATGTCTTTGCTGGAATGAACCAGCCCATCCCCAGAGCAGTCCTATCCGCATCCGTCAGAGGCTTCTACATTTTTGTATGGGTAGAACCACTCCATTTTGGACTTCCTTAGCCTCATGTAGGGGCCATAGAAGTGATTTTTCAGTGTCTTTTAGAACAGAGAATATGCACTTTTTAACTTTAAAAACAACATTAGGTTAGTTATGTGTATTAGGAAGATATACCTAATGCACATACCCTAATACAAATATCTAACTTTAATACACATACCTAATTATGTTTTTAAAGTGATGCATTGTATATCTACTGCTCTAATACAATTTAAATATTTATTTTCATTTCCTCGGCCCCTCCACAGAGCTGAGGAAGTGTTTAATTTCCCAACATCCTGAAGTGCCTTTCTTTTTAAGATGCTTCACAATACTGGCAAACTGGCAATAGGCTGCTGTGGACCAAATCAGCTGCTTGAGGTCCATCCCTCCTAGCAACCATACTTAGCCCGTTCCAGGTCACTCCAATCACCCTGCGCAGACAGGCTTTAAATCCCAGGAATTAACTGCCAGTAGTTAAGCAGTCAAAGGTTTCATTGGTCGTTATGCAACCCGTCACCTGACTGACACACAGTGAGAAATATAAGTGGTGACTCATTAAGACAGCAAATTACTGCTGCAATTTATGCCATTTTATTTATGCTGGCATGTGTAAGCAAAAGGATGTTCTGAAAGTTTTATGCAAAGGTATTTTTATGTTTTGAAGGTAGTTTGTATTTTATTATTTCTATTTTCTGTTTTGTTGAGTTGTGTTTTAAGCATGTTGTTTATATATGTTGTATGAATGAATGAATGAATGAATGAATGAATGAATGAATGAATGAATGAATGAATACCTCTGCCGAAGTATTGTTCAAAAGCAGTAAAATGCAAACAGGCAAAGAGAGCTCTCGTTTTCCTGTTGACAATACATTGGACAGTATCCTGCTGATGATTTACATGCGTATAAGTTAAATTATGCAATTCACCTTGTTGAACTGTTGTTAACTAACAAGGCCAGTTGCATTTACTAGGCATGCCTCTATTGCACCATTGTCGTGACGTTGTGGTGACGTTGCCTTGCTAGCTGGTGACAAGTTGACACAGCGAGTTATACAATTGAACTACACAGAAATCACCAACAAGATTCTGGCCATGACCTCCAAGACTGGAGACAGTATTGGGTTGTTGTTACCGCTTGCGTTGTCAAGCCCCGGCCCCACCTGGGGGCTTCCCATAGGCACCTGGTTGGCTACTATGGGAAATGGGATATTGGTTGGTCCGATCCAAGAGGGTTCTTGTTCTTTCATAACTTGTGAAACAACCTACAGATTTTGCCACAGTGCACATAGGTTAGGTTATACATTTTAAAAGAACTTGTGCTCCTATTCATATCTAGTAAGTGAAAAGAAAAAAACAGATAGGATCTGGTTGGTTTGCCAGATATCAAAACACATCAAAAACAAAAGAGTTCAGAATGGCACATATGCATTTCTTGCCTTCCATATGTCATTTCTTGTTCATTTGCATGTCGACAAGTAGTGTCAGCTGCTCCAGTTTGCGGTTACAAGGAGGTGACACAGAGGGTGGGCAAGGGAAACCGGTCCTGTACTGTAACCTACTGCCTTCAATAGACGCTTTACAAAAATAAAACATCCGAGTCATCTAAGGGAGTTAAATATCCTGAAGCCGCTCATAAGCCATTTCAGAATACTAGAAATTGACACTGGAAGGAGCGGCAAGGCCCGTTCCAAGGGACCACACTTGCTGGGAATGGACTAAATGGGAGCCCTCAAACTTACAGCAAAATTGTAGAACATCGCCCCCCCCCGCCCGGAAAGAGGCTCCAAAAGCTGCAGGTTGGGGTAAATTGGTCCACTCCAGAAACATCCATGTGTGGGTGCAGGAAAAAAGAGCAGATGAATCTGACTCATCAGCGCACCAAACTGCAGGACAAATGCTTGTGTGGATTTCCTCTAAGTTAAGATAGCATTTATCTTACCAGGGCAGCACTAAAATACCATATGGTAGGTTCTGAGGGCAGGAGGTGTCTTGGTGAGCGGGATGAGTACGGAGCCACTGGATGTATTTCGGGTATCTATCCCCTCTCACCTGGCATGTCCAGCTTCCGATACCATATTTCTCTCTCTCTCTCAAGTAATACTTATAGGGGTGCACTATTCTCTTCCCAAACCCACATATAGTGTACAATAAAATGGTTAAAATAATCATTGTGTGAAATATTTTTCCTGCTTTCTGTCTGTGTATTCATGTGTTTCGCTCACCTCCTCTTCTTCATTTTCAATACAAACCAAGAGGGACTTCTTTTCCTGACAAAATTCTCTTGCTTCATAAAAATACATTGCTTTCTCAACAAATAAGTAGATGGCCTCGTTATAAAGAGTCCAGTCTTGTCGAAGCCTTGTATAAATGTCATCTTTTTCCCAAGCCCAGATTGTATAACAAAGAGAGTGAAAGAGAAAGAAATAAGAGAAACGATTTAATAAAAGCCAAGCTGAAAAACCATGCATCTAAAAAAAAACCTATAAAATAAAAGCAAATAATGATTGGAATCTATTGGCTGAAGTCTTGTTGTAAAGCTCTATGTCATCCCTAGCAATGCATTGCCACTGATTAAAGGCAAATTGCTGCTAATTAAAGGAGATTTCAGGGTGCATTCAATGTGTACACAATGCGGTCAGGTCACGTGCCCTGAAATGGCTAAAGAAAGCTTTTAATCAGCAGTGATGTGCTGTTGCTGACATCATTGCTATTATGCACATAGAGCTGAATAACAGGATGTTAGCCACTATGTAGTTATATTAGCATGACTTAATCATTATGAATTTCAGTGGCAAATTGTTTTAAGGTCAGTAGAGGCATTCAACAGGCAATAGCAAATATCCATGCTGCCTTCCTGTCTTTCAGCAATTCACCATGAGATGCAGATTGTCTGAGTTACACCGACAGGCATAACTAACACGATTCTAGAGAAGACTGTATACAGTGGACCCTTGACTTACAGCAGGCAATAGCAAATATCCATGCTGCCTTCTTGTCTTTCAGCAATTCACCATGAGATGTAGATTGTCTGAGTTACACCAACAGTAATACGATTCTAGAGAAGACTGTATAATTATACCTTATGCTCCATTATAGTCAGCTGAAATAACAATAGGTACAGCCTTTTGAGTTACAGACTTCTCTGGCCGCAAAATTTAGGTTTGACTTGCAGACTGAAATTTGACTTACAGACCAGAAAAAACCCAAAATGGAACAAAAACGGCCTGTTACGGGATTAATCGGTTTTCAATGCACTGTAGGTCAATGGAGACTTGACTTACAGACTTTTTGACTTGAGAACCGCCTTCCAATACAGATTAAGTTCTCAAGTCAAGACGCCACTGTAATTATACCTTATGCTCCACTAGAGTCAACTGAAATAACAATAGGTACAGCCGTCTAAAATGGTACACCTGATAATGAACATTCCTAGTGGATTTTAACTAGGAATGTTTTTCCTAGTTAAAACCTATTAGGTAAAACATTCCTAGTTTAAGAATCAATCCTGTTGATTCACCTTGTATCTGTTTAAGAATCAATCTTGTTGATTCACCTTGACTTCTCAATGGCTTGAGAGGTGACCATAGCATCTATCTAGAACAGATCGGGGGGTGGGCATAGGATGTACTGAATTGCAATATTTACTCTTTTCCCCTTGTCTAGTTAAATAAGGAGAGGCTACGGCAGTGTTCAGGACTGCTGCCTGGAAGAAAGAGTCCACTGGAACGGAGCCAATAGATGGAAGTCCTGATAAGATGGAGGCTCTGTGGATAGGTTTTCCCAGGGCAGAGATTAGGTAGACCATTTGTTTTGGATGAAGTGGGTTGCCTTCTGAATACTCCTGTATATAAAGACCTAAGAACTGGTTTGGAATTTTTAATATATACAAGAACCTTGTTATATTAGTGTAGACCATTTTGACCTTAGACAATGTTATGCAGACACTCAAATACGAACCTTTGCCTGCAACATTTGTGTCACGAGCCTCAGACCTTTTCCTTCTTCCCCTGCTCTGCTTAGGGCCTTTGCCCCTTGAAGGACAAGAAAAAATGTTGCTATTCATACCAGTTTGTACCAGTGGAAGCTCCCTATGTTACAATTATAGCAAACATGTGCATGTAGGCACACATGCGCACACACGTGCACACACATCTTTCTCTTTCCCAGGAAAGTTGAGATAGCCCTTGGGAGGGGCAAAGGATAGAAGAAAGCTATGGTGAACGTCAACCGCATCTCCTCACAAGTAACTGAATTTCTCTGAGACCTGTAGCATCCCTTCAGTGTTTTGACTAACATCTTGCTAGACTAATCCAGAAACAATTTTACAAGAGACTGATAAGCTGATTTGAGGCAGAAGTGATCACTAAAAGACAACAGTCATCTCTGCCAAGTTCTTTTTCCCCAGAATCCTGGTTCCAGCCACGGTCAACCAGTTGCCTTGAAGGAAGCCTACAAGCAGGAGAGGAAGGATACAGATATTGTTCTCCAGCAACCGGTACCCAGATGCTTTCTGCCTCTGAACCTGATGATATCACACAGCCTCGAAGGCTAGTAGCTATTGAGGAGACCGTCGTCTATGAATGAATCGAATCCCCTTTTAAATCCATCATGCATGCCTATCACCATACTGTTGACAGGCAATATCGAATCCCCTTTTAAATCCATCATGCATACTGTTGACAGGCAAAGTTATACTTGGGCCATAGGTTTTATAAAGATGTTAGGGTTTCTGTCTGTTGTAAATCAATTTCACAGAATGACTCGTGGACATAAAAACAGTATGGCCTTTGTTTTCCTCAATAGTATGTTTAAAATTACAATTTTGTTTTTCCTTTAAAGTCATTTGGCTCCCTTCTCTGGAACTGGAAAAATAAATTAAATATTTGGAGTTGAAACACGGCAGAATTGAGATTATTTCTGTTCTTCTAGGATAACGAATTTCAAGTAATTTGTGGAACAGGATTGTTGCTCAGCTACTAGACATTTAGTGTATGACTCCCTACAACATTCAGTTTTGTCCTCTTTGATCCAAATAAGCCTTGGCAAGAACCTGCGGCCCAGAGGCAGTGGACAGAAGGAATTCAATAATATGTAGTTCAAGAATGTTTATACAGAGGCAGTTTATAGGATTGATTGTCTTGGACTTTGGATCAGTAGCTGTTTAAAAAGAACCTTCCTGAAGAAGAAGAAACAACAGGATTATACAAAGCTTGGGCTAAATGTTACTTTATAAAAAGTAACTTGCAATGTTACTTAAAAATTTACAATTACAGGTCCAAAGGTAGCTTGCGAAGTAACTAAAACCAGCATGAAAACAAATGTTGGTAAATACAGTACATTATTTTATTGCTGTGGCCATGGGCTACAAGAGAATTCTTTGACATTTTCGTTTTGCGGGTATTTAAGTCTTTAAAGTTTCAAAATATCTTTTACAGGTCCAAAGAAGTAACACGGATGAACACCTTTTGAATGTTGATGTCAGTAAGTTGATTTCTTCTATGCCCCGGGTTCCATCATTCAGATGGCTAGCTGTGAATTCAGAATTTTCAAAGGGAGAAGGCTTGTTTTGTTCTTGTATTAAGATGTTGGCATCCAGTTTTATTCATGTCAAGGATTTTCTATATACCAGTGTGCATTAGGCTTCATTTTACAAAGGCTCCGTCTCAGGGAGTGGCATTCAATGTTTTCCCAACATTCCGCCTCGGCATGGCAAAATGCTTTTAATACAGTACAGTTTCCTTTCGCCACTGGCCAATTAAATTTCCAAAATCTGAAAATGAAAGACAGCACCGATCAATTAACAATTCAGCCAATCTCTATCAAATTGCCAAAGTAGGTATCTATGTTTGATTGCATTCATCTGACTACATATTTTTTCCAGCTTATTCTTCTCTCTCTCCATTAAAAAACTGCATTGGTCCTAATACTCAAGAGAAATCCTTGAGAGATTGCTCCAAATAATTGCACAAACTTTTTTCTAGCAAATTGGTGGAAATCATACTTAAATAGAAAGGTTAGTATTCTCTGATCTAAATGTGGGGGAGAAATCATGTATGCTGCCCCCTGCTTACCACAGGCTCCCCATTGCAGGATCAATCCCATGATTAATTAACCTTGCAACCAGCATGAGAATGGGCATGCAACATCCCAGTTTTTGTTACGAAGGACAGGCTAAAGAAGAATCGACATAGTTCCTGAACTTATTAACATTTTATATTCCTTGGAAGTGTCAACATAGATGTGCCTGTGGTGATACAGTAAACACCAACACAGTGCTCTGCCAAAGATTCATGAGCAAACCTAGCATTCACAGGGCAAGAGGGGAAATGCTCTTATAGATTGGGAATCACGGGAAAAAAACAAGAAGCAGAAAGCAGGTTTGTCCTCATAAGAGAAGGGAATAAATGAGATTGTCTCAGAATCTGTGTTTGGAATCGTGCTTTTAGGGGTGAGCATTGTGACGGCCGAGATTTCAAATGACATTCAATTATTCAGGATGGCTTTAAAACAAAGTAGGTTGTCCAGAGCTCAGGAAATGTATTTCCCAAATTGGAGGAGAAATAACCAAATGGTCAATGTAGTCCGAAGTGCATAATGTGATGTATTTTGGAGGAAAAAGTCTGGACTCCAAGTATCCAAACCAATGAAGACTGACCCAGAAAGAGATCTTAGAATCATCATGGGCCTCTCAATGTCAATGTGGAAATGAAATGTTCTGCTACCGAACAGAGAAGAAATGTTTTATTATTTATAACAGCAGCTTTTTAAGGAGCAAATCATATATTTAGGAGGCCTTTTAATTCAGGAAAATGGTATTGTTACTTCCCACCTTGTTTGATACAGTCCACTACTTAGATTCTCTCCTCCAATGGCTGCCATATCTAAAAACAAGTTCAGAATAGAAGCACGCGACAAGCACCCTAACCCCAACCCCGATTATACAGCATCCTTGGTTAAATGGACCAGTGTAGCATGAACAGGGCACAATTCCCCTTGTCCATGTAACCAAGGCTTTCAAAGCGGAGAAACCAAACTGTCAGGAGGTGGCTACTGAGAAATCAACTAACATCAGAGAGTTTAAAAAGATTTTTAAAGAGCAAATTCAAAAGATTTTTTTTAAAAAAAACCTGTTGTCGCAGGGTAACCTTTGAAAGAGATATAACATTTGGTAAGATGAATAATCTCCAAAGATCTAGGGAAACGAACAGAGACATTCTCCAAACCAACAACACAACTGTAACCAATTGTGCCTTCACCTCTCTTTGTCAGTTGCCAATGAGAGCAATTTCTAGACCTTGGAAGGCAGTGAACATGCTTCTGTATTGTCACCTTCATCAATCTTTCTATTCCTGGCTCAAGCTCTTCAAATCCTTT